GTTACTGTATGTGTCTAAAAGCTGTGGTTCATTTAGGCTATATTGCAGTTACCATAATTAAAGCTGCAGTCCGTAGCTTTTTTTTTAGGTTAAAAATGATCCAAAATACATATTTGAGAAAATAACCAGCCAGTGTTCAAAACTCTCTGCTTGCCTTAGCTCGATTCAAAACGGTAAGCTTGTAATAATGATTTTCATTCCAGTGGTAATGGTGGATTTCCACGGGAGATTCAAGCATGTCATTACATCACATCTGTACACATAAAGAAGGAGTCTCGGCTAGTCGGCTATATTGCATGTCAGGATGCTGGAGGTGGAGGTTTATAGCCTTTTCTCACAGCCCTTGATACAATTAGACGTATTATTTTGATGGCGGATCCAGAAATGTTCAAACGACAAGCACCAGTGTCAAGTCAACAGATTAACCCACTGTAAAATGCAAAAGACTTCGTTCAGACTTTAGAGTGGCTACATAAAAAAAGAGACTGCAACTGGACCTAGTGAAAACAAGGATACATATCGGAAGGACAATACATTTAGCCTCGCAATGGTGGCGTTGTTAACATGAACAATTTGAGAACAAACTATAATTTGCACGGTTTTGCGTTAGAAGAGATTTTTAGATTTAATCAGTGCGATTTACTGCAATGTCAGAACCAGAACAAAAGTGGATGTTACTCACTTGTTCAGATTACATTTTCCAGTGAAAATTCTTATGTTGGTCATTCTTCCAAAAAGAATAATGACAATATCCATACCGGCGCGGTGACTGACAGCTGCACACTCTCCTCAAACATTGTGTTCATCCACGCATATACTTCAATAATTCCGCGAATAACTGCAATTGCAGATTTCGAACAATTGCAGAAAGTACGTATAAATGTAGGTTTATAGGATTATGGGAAGTGTTTAATAACAGTTATGTAACAAACACCACACCTTTATGAATTCAAAGTAGTCTGTTGTTCAGTAACTATAAATCCCGAAGAGCATTTCTCTCTCTTTCAGGCAGCTGGGTCAGAAACAGCTGTATTCATCCCTGTTTTTTTGTATCTCTTTATCTCTGTTTTCTTGTGGGAGAAATTTTCAAAACATGTGGCGTGTTTATTAAATGCATCCTTCCCATAAACACTAATACTGTTTATCTTTTTTTCTCTATGTCTACTTCTTTAAATAACCCACAGAACAATATGCTCATTAAATAAGATCTTTTATAAGCTATGAATAATGCGTGAATGTGTTATGAACAATAGACAGACTCATGAATAAAGTAGTTTTGGTAATAATTGGCAGCATTTTACGATGTGGTATGTGGGGGAACATTCTCTTCCAGCTCAACACGCTTCACATGACGCTGAATACACTCTCACCTGGGCTCTAGTACTGATTCTGCACACACACACACACACACACAAATTATGTTTTATGTGGACATTGCAGATATATAAGGATTTTTATACTGTACAAACTGCATATTCTAGCCCTTACCCTAAACCTACCCATCACAGATTTAAAATATAGTATGATTTAAAAGCTGTTAACATTTTCTCACAAGGACAAGGTTTTTGGATATTGCCATCTTTGTGAGGATACTTTGTCCCCATAACGTAGGCTTTATCTGAACCAATACAGTGAATTTCCATTTCATGTCAGCTTTAAACACCACATCACATATACTGTACATAAAAAGGGTTTCTGTGTAGTTTGCTCTACATGTGTATTTCATCTCTCTCTCTCTCTCTCTCTCTCTCTCTCTGTCTGTCTCCTGAATGTTTGATCTTGTATGTAGCTATTTCTCTCTGGGGTTCTTAGGACAGTGCGTACAGATCAGACACTGTCAGTAGTTAAACTAAAGTGCTAGTTAAACTAGATTATTATAAGTAAAAAATCAAAGAGCTCCAAGAAAAACAAACGGGTGTTTTTGATTCACGGTTGAGGAAGCTTCAGGACTCTTTGTACCGATCTAAAAGAGACTTTCATGTTATTGTGAGGAAGAGTTTCTTGGCTCATAATCTTAAGACGCAGCAGGGTGTAAATTAGGAAAACATTTCTAACATATGTTTGTTCTTTTATGTCATGTTTGATATGCTTGTTCAGATCTGCTGCCCACTGTGTCAACACTGTTTCCTTTTGTTTTTGTCATTCATTTCCTATTAATATAGACCTTTTTGCAAGATGTAAACAACACTGGTCCAGAAACACTTCCTGTTTCAGTTTGTAACTGTTTTCTGTATTTCACATGTAAAGAAAACATCTTAAAGATGTTTGTTTAACTTTTTGATTCAGTTTTATATGTTCTGTTGGTTGTATTTTATCCCAGATTTTATGTTGTGTTAAAAACTGAAACAGGAAGTGCTTCTGGACCAGTGTTGTTTACATCTTTCAAAATGGTCTATACTATCAGAGCTTGTGAACCTTTGTGGTTCTGCAATTCCCTCAACATGTCGAAAAACAAAAAGTACTTGATATTATACTTGAAAAGGTATTCTATTCGTCACCTTTCACCCACTTTGAGTGCATTTGTGAGCATTTAAAGGGCTAACTGAAACTGTTTCAGGCCTGTTTTTACATGTTCTGCGCTGCTTGCTGTTTCCCCACACGAGTGCACACAATCAATACAAACAGGTCGATTCACCGGCCAAAACTGGACAGTGGCAGTACAGTATGGGGATGTACTAATAGTGTGTTTGGGAATGTCCCTGTATCTGAAGATGGAAACTTCTCTGCTACACAGTGTGCCACATGAACAGAGGAGCCGTTCGATTCAGAAACATTGAAAAATAAAACAAACTGAGCTTGGCAAATCTTCAAATGTAAGTGTTAAAGACAATAGTTAGAAACTAAGACAATAGCTTTTATATTTTTATGTCCGTAAACTACCATTTATAAGATTTTTTTTGGTTTATGTTTTTGACTGAAGTCTCTTATGTTCAGCAAGACAGCATATATTTGATCAAATACAGTAAACGAGAAGTATTGCGAAATATTAGAATTTAAAAAACTGTTTTCAATTTGAATTCACTTTAAAATGTAATTTATTCCTCTGATGGCAAAGCTGTAGTCTTCAGTGTCACATGATCCTTCAGAAATCATTCTAATATGCCGATTTTAGTGTCGAACAATGTTAAAAAAATGTTGTTTAATATTTGTGTGTTCAATATTCTTTAACGAATAGAAAGTTCAAAAGTACAATGTTTATTTAAAAAGTCTTTACTAACACTTGGTAAATTGAATTAATCTTTGAAGAATAAAGGTATTTGTATTTTTTAAACTTTTGAACAATCATGGGTTCATTAGTTAATTTTAATTGAATTATAATTTTGGGCCTTATTAAAGAAACGCTTCAGATCGTATGTTCAGTAGAATCATAATTCAATAGGAAACTTTGTTCTGCCTGTGTTTGATAAATAAAGGCCTTTGTCTTTGGTGTATTTATACAAGGCCTTTGTCTTTGGCTGTATTTATATTAATCTATCAAAATATTCTTAATGTTCTTTTAGCCTCTCTTGTCTTTTCCCATTTTTGGGGCGGAAGCTTTTTCTCTTTTATGAAAATTTGCACGTCAGACTCAATATTGGTGCGTTTGTCATCTCCCAACGAAGATGAATTGAGCAGAATGCTAAAGGCAACAGAGCAGTATTTCAGTCTGCTGCCTGTAGTTTTATGTCTCTCTTTTCTTTCTTCAATCGACTGTTGCTGTGTAACATGATGGCGAGTGCTCAGGGTAATTGTGCGCAGGTCTTTGAGATTACAATCTTGGCAACAAGCCTCTTGTTTGGCTAAGAGTGAAAGGCTGAATAATGTGGACAGAAGAGTCTGGAGTGGAACAAAACACATCATACTCAAAGTGCCTTTGAGAAACAGTGAAGCTTGGGACACCCTGAGGAGAAGGCAATAATTCAACAAACACTGCAGGTGTACAATAACCATGATTGATGCATAGGATTTACTGCACCTTCTAACTAACAGGTGCAAGTTTATTCTTATGGCACGTTTGTTCTGTCTGATAGGATTTTTGTTTTCCGGAAACTGACCTTTGTGGAATTTTAAAACATAGAACAATGTGGAACAATGTGTGTGTTGTTCACATCAAAATAAACTTGGAAACAATGGCACACTGTGTTTTCTTTTGGAGCAGAGTCTTATTTATGTCTTTGTAGATCTGAATCCCAGTTGGAATCATTTCCTATGGGATTCAGTTAACTGTGTGAGGAGTTGAAACTTGAAATTGTTTCTCTAATTTTTTTTTTTTTTTTGAGTGGGCTAATCCTGTAAAGTAATATTTCACTACAGAAAAAAACCCATAATTTATTACTTTTGAAACTGAGGTGTTTTTTTAAGTGTACTGTCCCTTTAAGTGCTCCAACATAGACTAAATGAGTTGTGCTGTTGTCATCACCTTTATTAATATAGCGCTTTATACAGATTTGTTTCAAAGTAGCTTGACAGTGATATGATTCAATGATGCAAAAAAATTCAGTTCTGCTGTAATGCAACTCTAAAAAGATGATAGTAAATGGTCATTATTTAGTTGAAATCAGTTCAGTGTTGAGTAATAAATGTGTAAATTTCATCAGTTATGGAATGAGTTTAATTCATCTACGTACTGTATAAAGCAGTTCTGGGGAAAACAGTTGTGCCGATGTAACTGCTGAAGCTTTGAGATTTGCATTATATTGTTGGCCTACATAATCTATCTAATAATAAACTTAATCTTAATCAAGGTCACTATTCTAAACTTCTGTGGTCTAGAATGTCACATGATTATGTAAACATGAAAGTTTGAGTAAAGGGATTCAGTCATGAGTGTGTTCATGTGTAATCATCTGTTGGTTCAGTGATTCATTTAGAAATGTGCCTCTCCTTGTGCAGTCATATCATCATATTATAGAACAGAAATAAATATGTAGTGGTCAATTATAAAGTAAAAAGAATTGAGTATATTTTGCATGGATGAATGAATGATTATCTCTGTCTTTCTGTGTCTTTTCTCTGTTTAGCCTCGTCTCTAGTGTCTCACAGGTTTGTGACGGTGCGTCGGGGGAGTCCAGCTGCACGCAGTGGTCAGATTCAGCCGGGGGATCAGCTGGAGGCCGTGGAGGGCAGATCAGTGGTCACGCTTCCTCACAGAGACCTCGCACAGATACTGCGCAGAGCTGGCAACAACCTCAGACTCACCATTATACCACGCTCTCACACTAGTAAGCATACTACACACACATAAGGCTTTTCATTTTGCTTGACTGTTTTTTTAACCCTCTGAGAGCTGTACATGCCATCTAGTGGTTACACCATGGCTCTACACTTGTTCGCTATACTGTAACCAGATGGGGCTAATTTTCTTCAAAACATTTTTCTGAAGGCCTCGACTCTATATTAAAAAAATACTGCATTAATAGTTAAAAAAAAAAAAAAAATATATATATATATATATATATTTTTTTTTTTTTCCCTTGGCAAAAATAGACCATAAATATTGCATAAATATTAATAAAATTGTCTCAAAATACTAAATTTAAAAAAATAAATATTATAGAACAAAAATAAATCGCATTAGTTTTTACTGGGATGGAGGAAGCTTCATTTTTAGGTGTCTGGTCACTTCTGACCGGAAAGGCTCAGGACGTGACTCCTAAACGAAGACCATCAGAGGGTTAAATATATACTGTGTGTGTGTTTTTATATATATATATATATATATATATATATATATATATATATATATATATATAGTATATTTTTTCATACACTACCGTTCAAATGTTTGGGGTTGGTATTTTTTAAAAATGTTTTAAAAGAAATCTTATGCTCACCATCAAAAATACAGGAGAAACAGTAATATTGTGTAGATTTTTTTTACCTTTTAAATGAACTTATTCTATTTTAATAATATATTTTAAAATGTATTTTTTTTCCTATAATGCCAAACCTGAATTTTCAGCATCATTACTCCAGTATTCAGTGTCACATGATCCTTCAGAGATCATTCTAATACGCTGATTTGGTGCTAAAGAAACATTTCAACATTATTAGCAATGTTAAAAAAAGTTGTGCTGCTTAAAGCGATAGTTCACCCGAATCTACCATTATACACTGTATAATATAATAATTTCATAACACAGTTATATTTAGCAATGATATATCACTTGTATATCTACTAAAAAGTTAAGATACATCTTACCCACAAGACAGAGCGTCGGCAACCACATTTTCAAACCCCTTCTTGTGTTTGATGTTAAGCTGAAATTATTATATTATATAGTATATGATGGTAACCAAACCTATGGTGAAATGAAATTACTTTGTCTAAAAAAGTTTTTCTTACTGATCCAAAACTTTTTAATGGTAATGTATATGCATGCTTGTTTGTCTTTATTGTGTATATCTTAAATTTAGTATTTGTTGAAATCTAAGTGCCTTGAGAAACTTGCTGTAAATAGTTAATTATTATTAATAATACTATGTATTATTTAACAATTATTTCAATAATAATTAATTATTATCAATACTTAAGTCAAAATTGTATTTATTTATTTATCAAATAATAAAAATAAAATAATTATTGTGTCATATATATATATAATATTCTGAAATCGGGAAAATGTTGATGTTCCATTTGCTAGTTTTTGAGTTATATTTTTCAAGTCGCCACAAGAGGGTGCTGGTGTATAGACCCTAAATATTAAAGTGTGAGTCAAACTGATGAGTGTCTATTTGTCTGTCAGACAATAATCTGCCTGAGTACCCTGACTTTGATGCTGAGAGCCGGTTAAGAAAAGGGCATCGGGCCAAGCAAAAGGTGAGGCTACATACATGCGCTCAGAAATGTGTGATAAATGTATATTTTTATAAATAAATGAGGTCTTACTCTGCACGAATAATAATTAAAGCTGAATTAGCATGCTCTTTAAAATAGTTGGAGAATGTTATCTAAACTTGCTTATGAAAATGTCTCTCGCTCTCTCTCTGTGCAGGATTCCCAATTTTACAGTGTTGATCTTGAGAGGGGCCCAACAGGGTTTGGCTTTAGTTTGCGAGGTGGAAGCGAGTATAACATGGGTCTGTATGTACTTGGTCTGATGGAGGGCGGACCGGCCTCACGCAGTCAGAAAATTCAGGTGTGTGTGCAGTACACTCATAAACTGCCCTTTGATTACAAATCGAGTTAATACAACATTTCTGTCAGGGAAGTTTGAAAGTGTGACTCAAACTCTAAGAGTCATGTTGTTAAGATAATGCTGAGGCATGCTGGGTTTAGGTGCTGTCTTTGAGTCACTGAGGGTTTTGCTGACTCGTGTTGCAGGTGAGTGATCAGCTAGTGGAGATAAATGGAGACAGCACAGCCGGGATGACACACAGCCAGGCCGTGGAGCAGATCCGAAAGGGAGGAGCATGGATTCACCTCGTACTGAAGAAAGGCAACGGATATGTACCGGATTATGGTGAGGGGGGACAAGGGTAGGAAAAGAGGGTTCAAATAATTTATCTTATGATCAGTGTAATGTTCGAAAGATGGCCAATGTATTTTACAAGAGTTCTGCTTCCCTCTTATTGTTAACAGGTTTACATCAGTAGATCAGATTCTTCTATTCAAGACCATGGGTGGGTAAGAGGATATTTGGAGATTGTGTGTTGGAATATTACAACTGTCCATGAAAACTTAGTTGAGAAAAACAAGGTTATAGACATTCAGGGTTTTACCAAAAAAAACATTGAGTATATAAGCCCCAGATGCCCGTCCTCTTGTGCCACCCATGGTCTGGACTGAAGCTTCTTTCCCTTCCTGCACTTTTTTTGCAACTTTGCATTGGATTTTTCCTCATTATTTACTGCTTTTTCTTTCTCTCTTTCGCTACTTTATACTTTTGCTCTCTTTCTCTCTCTTGAACTCTCCTCCAGTGGAGCTTTCCAGCTTATCTCTTTGTATGACTAACTCCAAGCAGGGCGAGCCTTGCTTCTATGTCATCGGGCGGACAGAAAACATGCGGTTGGTAACCGTTCCTGTTGGTTGTCGTTTTGTCTTTCTCTATGTTCATCATCTCGCAGTTCTCATATTGCATTCTACATTTCACTAGAGGTGTCATGTTATTAAATATCATGTATATAATATCATTATATATTTAACTGTGTGTTTGTGATGTATGTTCAAAAGCGTGGGGCCAATAAGATTTTTTAAATGTTTTTGAAGAAGTCTTTTTCGCTTACCAAGGCTCCATTTATTGTATACACTAAAAATAGTAAAATTGTGAAATATTATGACAATTTTACAATAAGTTTTTTATTTTGATATATTTTAAAATTAATTTTATTTATTAAGATTTTTCTGGAATAATATTTAATAATGAGTAATAATTATTTATTTTTTTTAAACTTACTGACCCTAAACTTATATAATGAGTTTATAATAAAAAGTTATAATACAAATTATTATTATTGGAAGTTTATTCAAAATTTATTCCAAATTCACTGAAAATTTGGAGTGAATATATAACTCCAAGTCTATCACTCAATATATCTCAACTAAATTTGCTGGGGTTTTTTTTTCCAATTTGATTAAGGCTACGTCCACATTAATCCGGATACATTTGAAAACAGCGTTTTTGTTAAAAAAGGCTCTCCATCCACACTAGCGTTTTCCGACGTTTCAGTGTGGATGAGAAACTTCTAAATTCACCATACTGCGCATGTGTGAAAACTCACCGAGATGAAACAGATGGAAAAATATATAATAAAGTTATCGCGCAATTCTTCTAACAGGATAATTTAATATAGCAAAATATCTCACCATCACTGATGCGTTCAGGTCGCACTCAGTCACCATATGGTTGGTCTAAAACGCAACTGCTCTCCTGAATTGCCGCAGGACAGTAAATGTGAGTACATTTTCTGTCATCTTTGCAGTACTGTGATATGAAGAGTGTGCAAAGTAACATTTTAGCAACAATGTAAAAGTGAATAGCACATAACAGGCACCGGTAAACATGAATATCTATTGGTACAACATGGATCACATGACTAAACTTACGTCATCGTTTTCAAATACCTCCGGCGAAAACAGCGTTTTCGAATTTATCCGCTTTGGAGAGCGTTTTCCAAAAGATACGTTTTAGTGTGGACGGAAGGCCAAACGGAGAGAAAAATATTAGTGTGGACATGGCCTAAGCATTACTCTTTTGTGGTAACTGCTTTTCCATTAAATTGTATCCTTAAATAAAAAAAGATTGCATTGCAAAGATTTCCAAGGTCTTCCATACTGTATATTGATTTGGCATACCCATAAAGAACTTTTTTTAACAATCAATTTTTCCAAATGCTAATTGCTGATGCTGTGTTTCACTGCCATAATGTAGTTTATTCAAGCATTCAGAAAGACAGAAAACCATTTCTCACCCGCCAACTCCATCACATCCCTTTGCTCAAGTTAAAATTGCAGGCAGTAACCCCTTACTGATCTCAGAACAGTCATTGGTGCATCACATGGTTGCGTTCTCTTTCATCCACCCACTCCTCCATCATCGAACCCTTATCCGACACCTCCTTTTGTAGTTTTACATGAAGATGGGCTGATTAGTGTTTTATCATTCAACTCTCTTTCTCCTTCTCTCTCAGACCGTGAATCTGGAGTTGCTTCCCCCTCCTCCCTCTTCTCCAAGGAGCCGCTTGTGGCAGCAGTTGATCGCTCTCCTCCGAGGAGCAGCAGACGGGTGGATGATAGCGGATGTGAGAGGAGAGAGAGGAGGGGGGAGGGACGGAGGGAATCAGAGGGAAGGAGCAGAGAAAGAGGAGCCGTGGAGGGCAAGCGGAGCCGGGCGGAGGATGTTAGCGCGGCCGGAAGAAGGAGAGAGCAACAGATGCGTTCGAGGAGTTTGCCTGGCACGTTGAGGGGTCGAGAGGGGCCGCAGAGAAAAGAGGAGGAGGAGGAGAAGGGCACACGGGGGGAAAGGAAGGGAGAGGGGGAACAACGACGGGGAAGGCAGAAAAGCAAGAGCATGGGGGAGAGAAGACAAAAAGTGAAGGATGTTAGTTCAGAGAGAGAGAACGGCCTCCCTGAGAGGGAGAAAGGGAGTGTCAGGAGAGAAAAGAGGGATAACAACGGAACTAGCACAACAGAGGTCACACCACACGCACCTTTCTCCTTCCTCAAGCCTTTGGACAATGACGATGATGGGTCAGGTGCAGAATCGGCTCACAGCATCTCTGAAGTCAGCATCGCATTCTCCGCTCAGTGGCCTCTACAAGCCCCTGGATCTTCGACAACACCTCCGGGACCCTGGCTAGTCCCCAGCCCTCACAAACTCTCTCAGGTTTTAGAGAGGAAAAGGCTGAGCCAGAATAAGGGAGGACTGTGGTCCTAATGCTAATTCCCTTAAAAGGATAGTTCACCTAAAAACTCGCCCTCATGTTGTTCCAGTCCCGTACGATTTTCTTTCTTCGAGGAGAAATTTAGAAGAGTTGTACTGGTTGCTCTTTTCCACATGAATGAATTGGGGGAAAAAAACATGCAAAACCACCAAAAAATTGTCCATACAACTTGTGTACTATATTCCAAGTCTACTGAAGTCATAGGCTCTGTCCCAAGCTGAACCCTAAAGCCCCGTTCACACCAAGGGTGAAAAATCTAACGATAACTATAGACCATATGTGCCAGAGAAACAAGCGCGCAGCCATCTTTAGAATTTTGTCTTTGAACTTCCGTTATTGTGGTAGTTCTGTGTTTTTCTATGGCATTGCTGTCGAAGAGTAATTATTGGTGAAGTGGATTTACTTATTGTAGAGTTACCTATTGTAATGTTTGACGCGGATGTCGTAACAATAGACAGGGAAGATTTTTAAACGAGTGGTTCATTTATAAATCCGCAAGATGGAAATTCTATGAGAATAGTGGAGTTCGCACCACAACTACAACGATTATGACACGAGAACAATACCGTTGGAATCAGTCTCACAATGTTTTTTTTCAAGCTGATGAACGATTAAAAACATTGGCAGCCAATCATAATCCATTGTGCTTTAAAGCTACACTGTGTGATTTTTACCCCCATCTAGCAGTGAAAAGGTATATGATCATCCAGTGAATATTAGTTTCTGTTCCTCTCAATTCCGATTTCGTTTTAACTCCTACGGTGGCCAATGTAGTCCAAGATTAACATGGCTTCCAGTTTGACCTCGTCCATGATTGTTGACTCAAATGTAAACGCGAAAGGTGAACCTTGAATTAACGGGTATGTCCCTCTTTGGCTAATGTACTTTCAAGATGGAGGGGCAACATGGCGACCGACATTAGAACCCCTTACCCGTATCTATTTTCAATGGCATATTATACACTCACGAGAATACTTTATTACTTGAACGAAGTAAATATACATTAATGACCACATATTATTTTTGAAAGAACTAAGCGAACTTTTTAGCTAAGAATAAACTAAAAGAGTTACACAGTGTAGCTTTAAAGTGCCTGACAGGCGACTTAACGGCAATGTGTGCTTATAATAATCAATGTTATCGTCAGTTGTTGCGGATGCCAATATAGTATAGTTATCGTTCTTGGTGTGAGCGGGCCAAGAGCCTTTGCAGTTTTTCTTAAGTCCACACTTTTGTGACGTGATGCCGGTTCGATTGTCGGATAAGAGACTGCTGTGGAGTTGGTACAGCCAAATTTAGTTTTCGTGAATCGAATCGACTGATTCGTTAAAAAAAAAAATCTGCCTCAAAAGAACAATTTATTGATAAATCAGACATTGCTACTTTTCACACAAAGACAGTTGAGGCAGATTTCAGTGAATAGAGATGCAGGCAAAATCCAGTAATTTCAATATGAATCCCCATGATCAGGAATTCTGCGCGAGGGCGAAAGATTCCCCCTCACAGATTTCGTATTTGGTTCAGTTGGTCATGAAGACTCACCAAGTAACTTCTGTGTGAGCAATGCTTCATACATTGTTACACTATCTTTTTTGCCTGTGAAATTTCGCTAATGTGACCACACCTTTAAAACTGAGATTTTGGTTGTTTTTCACACAAATATATTACATATCATATTGACTTTTAATATATTAACATAATATAGTGCTCAAGTCGTATGAACCACTTTTGTGATACTTTCATGGTGCTTCTGCATCCTTTTTAGCTGGTCTTCAAAATTGCTGCTCATGGAAGAAATAGTCATACCTGTTTGAAACAACATGAGTGTTAGTAAATGCTGACAGATTTTTACTTGTTTGGTGGCAGGGGGGTAAACTATCCCTTTAAATCTCTTCTCTTTTCTCTCTCTCTCTCTCACATACAGCCTCTCCAGCTCTGTCTCTATTATGTGGTTTTCACCACCACCATCATATCAGTTCTTCTTCCGTCTCAAATCCATATCTATATGGTCCTGTGTGTGTTGTATTTGGTATCATCCAGATACCCAGAGGTCTCCCACCCAGGCCGATCAAGACTTGATTTTATTGCCATCTAGTGGCCACGGAGAGATAATGAGCAAATGCTGCCATTACGTTGTGGCTAGCATGACCGTAACTGCAAGGTCAGTTAGTATGCATCTATGATTCATGGTGTCCTTCATAGCATGTCTTTTTCATATCATTTGACATTTTTATTTAGCATATTTTCCATTTATTTTCATAAAAATACAACAAAAATTCTATTATATAAAAAAAGAAGATTTATTTAAAACATGGTTGCTCAGTCATGCCCCTGAAGAGCTACACTTCTGAAAGTAATCTAGATTGAAAAAAAGCTCTTCAGGACCAGGACTAGCACCCTCAATTTAAGAGATTTTATTAGCTGCTTGCTGTTTGTGACTGGACTATAACCCCTCTCCTGCTGTGTGCGCAGTGGTCTTGCTGTTGAAAGAGGGGGGAGGGGGGGGGGGGGGAAGGAAGATAACAGAACTAAAGTTTTATTATAAGGCCAGTGAGCCGTATCAAACCTCTCCAGGTGCCTTCTGCTTCTTTAGCCAGTGTTTACCAAAAAAAGAAACAAATACAAGTAAAAGAACAAGACGTAGCATAGTAGAAAGTGTGCAACACAATACTGTTCTGCCTCTTTAACATCTATATCTTTGCAAGACTTGGTTCACGAGTTGGGGAAAATGTTCTGCACACGCTCTGCGAAACTTCAGCTAAGTGAGTCAAAGTGAAAGAGAGCCATTACAAGTGCCTCATGCGATATTCCTTTATACGAGACATAGAATTCCCTCGAGCTCATAATCAGGACCCAATTTATTTTTTTTTTCCATTGTGATACTTTTTGCGTTTGTATGCTTTCTGGTTAAATTTTTCAGACCCATTTCATTGGCCTCGACATTTCAGACAAAATATGGGGGGGAAAAGAAAACGAAGGCCTGATTTGTCCTTATTCCCGAGCCCTCCACCAATCAGCATCCAGCATCATGCGGAATCTTCATTTCAGGAGACAAAAAGAAAAAAAAAAGAAGAAGAAAAAAAAAGGGCATTTTGATACAGGTCTTCTATGCATTTTGTAAGACTTACTGATCAAAAATTGCGGTAGGAATTTTTCTACCTAAGATGTGAGATTCGTAATTTTGTGTACTGTTAAAATACACAGGCTGGTGAATCGAAACCGAAAATTTAAAAAGGATATCCGGTGATAATCAGACATGCTGTACCACCAGCTTATGCATTGATCTTTACCTCAGAACTGTCTGAGCAATAAGTGCTATCTCTTTCTGTTCAGTCTCATGGCAAGCTCATCGAAAAAGCTGAGTGATAGAAATATGCACGGTAAAATCATCTATGATAAATTAATTCCAATGAAATGCATCCCTGTAAACATGCATTTTGGTATTTTAAAATAATATAGTATTTTATCAAATAGATTTTAATTTATTTCAGTATTCCAAAAGGTATCTAAAGTTACATATTATAAATATCCCAATTTTATCAGCAGACATAACCCAATGAGAGTTAATTTATCACTGGAGATCTTTACTGTGCTAAAACATACTGATAAATGCTTGCATAAAAGATCACATGCAAGTTCTGTTGCCATACGCAGCCTGTAAGCATTTAGCAATTTGCGATTCGGAAAAGTGATACAATGATCTTAAGGGATAACACTTTAAATCAGGGCTCTTACATGAGTATTACACAGCGTTCAGCTGTACATCTGAAGTTCACTGCTCTCAGAATCCTCAACCAGCCTGGGTATTGATGTTGACTTTGTACCCGATTATCCCATTGGCATCAGCACGTACTGTACAGAAACTGGGATGAGCCTTGTAAATGTTTCGTTTCGGATTTATTTTTGTGAGGGGGGAGATTTTGTTTGTTTTCCAAAACGTTAATAGGCACTGTAGCATTTCCCTTACTGTAAGAGATCTTATAAGCAAGCTTATTGTACATAATTATAGACCCTGAACCTATCTTTTTTTTTTCTACTCCCCCATCCCTTTACAATGTCTCACATATCAGAAATATACAGCACTGTCGAGTTACCCTGAGACACGTGCAACATTTTAAACCGAGGTGCCATTGGCTTGACGAGAAGCTTGCTGTTTAAAATGATTCTTATAATTCAATCTTGCATGTCTGTAGTGAGTATACTAGTTTTAATAGCACTGGCCCTTACAATTGAAATCAAATGTCCCGATGGCATGATACTGTATCCCACAGCCCAGGAGGCCAATCGCAATGTTTTATAGAACATCTGTTGTCAGCTTCAAATTATAAAAAAATCTGATTTGACAGCTTGAATGCCCACTAGTGCCCACCGTGGTTTTTGCACAGCCCTCTTCATTGTGTCCTCAACAACATATTAAAATCAAGATTTAGAGATACAAAGATAACAATTAGCATGCCCACTAAACATTGTCCCGCCCTATTTAGGTTTCCTCGTACCGGAGACAGTTTAGACCCTTAGATGTTCAGTATTCAGAGATGTAGTCTCAAAAACGAGCCATACTCTGAGCCAACAGATATATGAAAACAACAATGCAATGTTTTTTATAACAATGTCTGCAAGGTTCCTATCAGTGCAAATGTGCCATTTAAATGCTAATCAATGATGTCATACTCTTTCCTCCTACCGAGAGAAATACAGCGGGGCAATGTTTGTCCCTCTGAGTTTGACACTTTTCAAATGTCAAAACACCAAGAGTGTTTCAGCTTTGAATTTTCAACTTGAATTTGCTATATTGGCCTTGTAAGGAGTCAGCCATTGTACAGAACAAGAACAATTTTATTTGTAAAGAGGTAAAGGAAATGTTTTTATATCTATATTCTAGAAATATAGGATAAAAGTCAGCAGGGGTGTAAAGTACTTGAGCAATTATGTGCTTCATTACTATACTCGAGTATTATTTAAAAACGGAATATTTATACTTTTGCAAAATTACATTTCTATAAGAAAAAAGGCATACTTTTTTATTGTTAGAACTTAATTTATATCTTAAAGGGATACTCTGCCTTTTTTTGGAAATAGGCTCATTTTACCACTCCCCCAGAGTTAAACAGTTAGGTTTTAGTGTTTTCAAATCTATTCAGCCATTTTTTTGATATTTAGAAGAATATCAGTACCAGACAGTTTCTGGTCTCATTGACTTCCATAGGAAAAAAATATACTATGGAAGTCAATGAGAAAACTATCTGGTTACTGATATTCTTCAAAATATCAGAAAATCGGCTGAATGGATTTGAAAATGGTAAAACTCAACTGTTTAACTCTGGGGGAGTGGTAAAATGAGCCTATTTCCAAAAAAAAGTGGAGTATCCCTTTAAAAAGAAGGCTACATATTACAGTGGCCTAATAAGACTAATATGGAAACACAGTTCATTGTTCAGTCTATAAATCAGTGTTAACTAAACTATTAAAAACGTTTCTGATATTTGAAAGAAAGCTGAAATAATATATAGATATTAGATGGAAAAATTAACTAACTGAAATAAAATAAGTTGGTAATGCTACAATAAGGCCTCATTTGTTAGCATAGTTAATGAATTAACAATGAGCAATACATTTGTTACAGTATTTGTTAATGTTAATGAAAATACTGTCACTCATTGTTTGTTTATGTTTCACAGTTCATTTTCTAATGTTAACAAATACAACTTTTGATTTTAGCAATATA